GTCTATATGGTATTCTGGAGGGTTTGAAAGCAGAAATGTGTGGCTTGTATTTTAATTAACTTATGATTATGTGTTACCAAAATTATTACTGGAGTGGAGTGCAAAAATTCTTCATGATCATGACAGTTGAAAGATTAGACTTAACTTTACATAGACAAGCTTATTAAGCAATGTCTCAACGCATTCTCATCCTAGGGCTAGGGCGTCATATAGTGACGCTTTTGACAATGCGTATACATCCAACGCACATGGCACCCTTTAGCGTCAATATAACACGCTTTGGTTATGGGTAGGTTTAGGTGTGTGGTAGGGTTAGGGTTAGACCACTAGGAGGCGCCTTCTGGCCAATATATATCTGCGTCTCATATTGACGCTAAAGGGCGCCACGTGCGTTGGATGTCTATGCATTGGCAAAAGCATCAGTATATGACGCCTTGGGATGAGAACGGACTGAAAGTTTATGTAATAAGTCTTGTGGCTTTACTTTTGAAACTGTTTCTCTCCTCTTAGATGTCCATTGTAAGTCTATTACTGAATGCACATGTACTTTTTAAAAAAATTACAAACTGAGGGTATAACCAACATGTCACATATTCTTTCAGTACAGCTTAACTTGAACTTTCCTTTATTACATCAATCCAAATATGTGTTATGGTTAAGCGTTAACATACAAAAATAACAGTGGAGGTATTGAAGCCCATGAGATTGAAAAGAAGCTTTACAAAGAAAATGAACTTGCGGCAGAAGCCCCTTGTCTGTGGTCAGTATAAAAGAGGGTGAATTGTCTTACTAAATAGAATAATACTTACAAGAATCAATGCAATACTAAAGTATTTTAGAAAGAAACGATCAGATCTCATGCAACACTTGCATAGAATTTTTTTTCAGTCATGCTCTGATTTTCTTTGTTTTTTAAAATATAGAACAATAGATTAAAGTGAGACATGTCGATAGCAAATAAAGATGCAGTACACTAAAAGATAGGATTGGTCAAGGCATTTGTTAAAGTGGATTTTTACCCTGACTTCCACACTTCAGAACATGTACATTTCCCATGACCCTCTAAACAGCCTGTAAACACAATGTCCAGGACTTTGACATACAATCTACGCCAGTTTGATCTTATGTTAGAAAGGCAAGAGATACAGTGACTTCTAATGACCTGAGATCAACGTGTGACGTGGGTTGCTAACAGGTAATCGGACTCTTTTTGTCCTTAAAGTAGTAGTTCACTTTAAAAAAAAAAAAACTTTTGCTGATAATTTACACACCCCCATGTCATCCAAGATGTCCATGTCTTTTTTTCTTCAGTCGAAAAGAAATTAAGGGTTTTGATGAAATATTCCAGCATTTTTCTTCATATAATCGACTTTACTGGTAACCAAACGGTTCAAGGTTCAAAAGACAGTTACAGTACAAAACAGTAGGGCTTTAAACGATTCCAGACGATGAATAAGGGTCTTATCAAGCGAAACGGTCACCTATTTTAAAAAAAAAAGTGTAAGTTTTACAAGCTCAAATGGTCGCCTTGCTCTGTTCTGCGATGCACGTTTGTGACTCTCCTGTTCGAACTCGTTCATCAAAATGAACAAATCTTTTTCCGAGGCGTTTGGTTCATTCAATCAACAAAACGAACTAATTGACTTGAAAAAAGATTCGTTCATTTTGATGAACGAGTTCGAACAGGAGAGTCACAAACGCGCATCACAGAACAGAGCAAGGCGACCATTTGAGCTTATAAAACTTAAACTTTGTTATTTTTTTTTAAATGAGCGATCGTTTCCCTTGATATGACCTTTATTCGTTTATTATTATCGTCTGTCGCCTTGCTTTTGGCTTGCTTTGAGCTTGCTCAGTTGGGGTTATTTAGTGTTTAGCAATGTTGTTGATACTGTGTTGTGCTACTTTCATGTTATCAGTGTGAAGCTGCTTTGATCTGTATTGTGAAAAGCGCTATATAAATAAATGTGACTTGAATTGACTTGACTTGGAATCGTTTAAAGCCCTTTGAACAGTTTGCAGTTTGTACTGAAAGTGTCTTTTGGACCCGTTTTTGAACCGTTTGGTTCCCACTGAAGTCCATTATATGGAGAAAAATGCTGGAATGTTTTCATCAAAAACCTTAATTTCTTTTCGACTGAAGAAAGAAAGATGTGGATATCTTGGATGACATGGGGGTGAGTATATTCTCAGCAAAAGTTTTTTCAAAAGTGAACTACTCCTTTAAACATACTCTACAAACGTGAACGCAAATGCTTATAGCTATTTAATTTGTATTACATTCTTAGTATTGCCACAAGGGGCACTGTAGCATGCATTAGATGCATAAAATGTCTTCTCTTTCACATCAACAACAGTTTGAAGGGAATTTAGCTCGACACATTTTGCTTGAAACACTTGCTTTCACGCACATGCGTAGAGTATGTTTCAGGCCCTGGCTTTCGACGTGTCAGTGTATTGTCGTAGCCACCAGTAATTGTTGTTTCGCCTGTTGGGATTTCAGAGTATTTCAGCTCTACAACTCAAGCTATGATGAACATACTATGATTGTGATGTACTCAATCGTCAGATTAGGCATCAATTTTGGTCGATAAGACGAGTCTTTACAATCTTATATGAGGGAGGATGTTTCTAAAAGTGCATTGTGGGAGAGTACGGCTCCAGTACAATCAACGCAATACAATCAATTGAGGGACAGTCAATTTAGCAACGTACCTCTGCAGGACAATGCATTAGTGCTGAGGACAAGAGGTGTTAAGGCATGCAACTATACATTCACTCAAGTCTCTGTGCATGTTTGGAAATAACTTTGTAGTCTACGTGAAATCATACTTTAATACGCATCCTATTCGTAAAACCAATGCGTTAAATCAGAAAGGTTTAAGGATTAGGATTTACAGATACATTAATTTAGATGTTTTAATTGTACGTTTTCTCGCGAAAGACCCAAAACAAAACTACAGCGCTACATGCGAGTGTACTGCAACTTTATGTGACTTCACATAACCGTACAACAACTGACGTTACATATATTTCAATGCGCCTCACGTCAACAATCTCTGAGTGAGAGCAATCCTGACTTTGTAAACATCGCAACATTTGTTAAAAACAAAACAGATCCATAAAAACAAAGTGAAGTAACGTTCTAAAGAATTATACTCAGGATCTGGTGAAATTTCATTCGATATATACACGCTAGCTATTCTTAGATGCGTTACTAATATTCTGTTGCAGATTTTAAATGAAAAAAAAAAAAAAACGAGTAGATTTTTCTACTCTTACTGTATATACTTAAAGTTTTCTAAAAGTCCTGTTTCAACCCTAATGTGCAAATAGTCCTAAATAGTTGTATTTGAGACATGCAGTGGTATAGATATACAGGTAAGTATTAAGGCCAGTTTGAATTGCCCTACACTGGATAAACCTTAGCCTAAGCTGCTACAGGTAACATCCGAGTCTAGAGTCATGATAATGAGAAAAGGGATTTCTTGGATTTGGTCGTAACACAACCTGGTTGATATGCTAATGTAATCACCGACCAGGTCATTAAACTAGCAAGCAGTCAATGTGTCGTCAAAGCAAGATGTGACACAGTTTTTAAATCTGGCCACTAGTGGTAACCACACTTTTAGATGCCCAGAGCCTGGAGGAGGAAAGAGTGGCGAGAAACAGAGGACTGAGGAAGATCACATTCTTCTTGGTACCTTCTGAGGCAGTTCACTCGGCAGCCATTTTGGTAATGCTAGTACAACTCCTACCTACTTAAATGAGGATATCGTTTTGCCAACCTTTCAACAATTGTTAAAATCACTTAAAAACACTGATACAAAAATTAAAATTGAGCTCCTTTAGCTTTATAAATCATGTTAGTCTAGCTAATGTGCATGCATATTCTAGACAATACAGATCAGGAGGCCTTTGATTGGCTCTTTTAAATGAGAGACGCCATTTTGAGTGTTATGATTTCTCATCAATCATTGGTTCTTGTCCACAGGCCGTGCGTCCACCAAAGCGTATTTAGCCAGCTGGAAACGCTAGACGCTCTGCTGAAGACGCCTAGCTTGAGAGCGTTTTGTCAGCGCAGCGTTTTTTCCGTTGAGACGTTTCGTTGCTATGATACAGAATATCCGCAGCACAGTTTACTTGAAACTGATTTCACAGATAATTTGTTTCATACTAAAAAATAATTTTTCATCCATTTTGTGGGGTTAGCGCTGCTGGTTGATGTCGTTGTACAGAAAGAATGTTGTGACAGTTGGTCAGTGTGGTTTAGTCCCGCCCCTCCTCCACTCTGATTGGACGGCTGGGCAGTGTTGTAGTCGAGACCACCTCACTCGAGTCCGAGTCGACACCGAGACCAGAGAGAGTCGAGTCCGAGTCAAGACCGAGTCCATAGAGAGTGGAGTCCGAGACCAGAGACGGTCAAGTCCGAGTCGAGACCGAGACCAGTGAGGGTTGATTACCTAATTTACTTTTATTTACTTAGAGAAATCCTTTTTTTTTTTTTTTTACTGAATTTACTTAGAGTTTAAAAAATATGATCAGTTTAGGGTAAAAAGGCCACATAGTAGGTGGTGTTAAAAGTAATTTTATTACAATTTGTCATGCGCAGTTGCGCACTAGAAAATCACCAATCACTGGGCGTGTCAATCAATTTAAAGAAATATTTTATTAACATACATTAATAATCATGAAAAATATTTTGAATTGAACTCGAGTGGACTCGGGAATAATTCCGAGTACTAAAAAAAAATGTTCGAGTACGAGTCAATTCCGAGTCCAAATGGACACGAGTCCATGACAAGACCAACACCATTAAAATATGGTCTCGAGACCAAGTCCGAGACGAGTCCGAGTCTCGAGTACTACAACACTGCGGCTGGGTATAAAGTGACAGTGATGAGCGCTGCGTTTTATCCAAAGTTGAACATTTTTCAACTCTTCGACCAGTAAAAAACGCTGTGCGCTTCAGCGTGAAAAACACGCTCATTGCGATTAAAAAACGCGGCGCTCCCATTGAAAACAATTGAAAACATACGTCAGGCGGGTGGAAAAACGCTTTGGTGGACACACGGCCATAAACTGTCTTTGATAAGGTCAACCAATTGATGACTTGCAAATGTGTCAAAAGGTAAAATGTATGAATCTAGACCTGAACTTTTCAACTGTCAAGTCGCAGAGGAACAACATGACTATCTCAAAACGGACACCAAAACTGGTGAGCTTCATCTATGGTACTTCTATAAAAAAAAGCCAGAGTATGGGCACTGATGGGTGATAAAATAAATCCAGTTTTTCAGTCCTTCTCATTTCCCAGAAAAAGAAACCGATGACACTGACCTAATTAGGTTCTTACTTTATGCGGCAGTACGGAAATGCAGGAAGATCGACTGCTTCTCTTCATTCTGGAGTTAAATTTCACCTCATGTGCAAACCCAGACTATAGTCCCAATAATATTTATACTCTACGACAGCAGAGCGTAACCCTGAATCCCTTTCCTACATATACCACATTTGCATGGTGCTTGTATAAGCGCCAATGTGTGCTACATCTATGAACGTGACCATGAAATGTCAGTTGTCTGAATAATGTACCAATAAACAACTGATATTGATAAGACGAGTGCATACAGAGTGCTCCATGATAGAGGGAATCAATGAACCAAAAAATAGTGAGTAATTTTCACATTTACAAGAGCACTAGCAAAAAAAAAAAAAAGTAAGATGCAACAAAATGCTACAACATCTTTCATTGTGACTCACATCCCATGCTATAAAAGTGCTTTTCCTTTTCCCATAATGCTTTCTGTGCTCATTGGGTTAAGGGAGAGTGTATAATACGCAAAATAATAAAGTAATATAGGACTCGGGTGGGGTAAGGGTTTCCAGAGGAAGCTCAAATATTGTTTTGATAAGAACATGCATTTGATCTTAAAGGAGAAAAGCTGCCCTGTCTTTAAAAAGCAAATGTAGTGCAATGCCTCAAAAAATAACGACCACATAAGCTTAGAAAACAGGAGATTTTTCGCCAATCATGGGCAGCTTCATCCACCAACACACATACACACACATTGTGCGTTTCCATTTCCTCACCAATCCCCATCCCCCCGATTCACGACCCAACCCTCTCTTCCGGACTCCTGCAGGGGGACGGTCAGTAGTTGTCCCGCGGCCAGGCTCTCACGCGCTGACGGTTGTTCCGTTGGTTGTGTCCGTCCTGCGAGTCTCGCTGCTGCAGGAGTCGGTCCCGTGACTCGTGTCCGTTAGTGCTGTTGATGCCACCGGGTTGGTTACGGTTTGGCGGGTACACGTCCCGGTAGGGGTTAGAGTGGCGTTGGGGTTCGTAATCATCTTCCTCTTCTTCCTCCTCCTCCTCCTCCTCTTCTTCCTCGTCCTCCGGGGGGTGCAGGGAGCTAGAGCCGCCTCGGCGGAGGGAGCGAGAGTCACTGGCCTCGTCGGAGGGCATGAGGCTGTCCTGCTCCCCCTGCTCCTCCTCCTCCACTCCCCCTCCACCCCCGGCGGGCGACAACTGCTGGTTCTGGGGCGGAAAGAGAGAGATGACCACTCTAAACCACACTGAGGTCACGTTTCCTCTTTCTGTTTCACTCCAAAGAAAAACGACTCGTTTAGGAGATTGGTATACACGTAGAAAATAACACAAATATTGAAACATGTAATGTGCAGTAAGGTGGGGAGAAGTCTCACCAATGACATAAATTAACTGGTTACTATGGCTTTGTTCACACTGCACGCAACACAAATTGGACTTGCTTTTAAAATCCAGACTTTAGGACTAACTGTCCAAACTGTCATCATCTGTGAATGTAGTTTGGATTGGGATTGTCAGATGTGTTTTTGCTGTTCAGGCTGAATTGATTGGAGTCTGAACAAAGCTGAGATCAAACTGCTGTGCATTATGGATTGCTACGCATTTTCCTCTGGAGCAAAAAAGACTCAGGTTAGTTTTCGAAACGAGGAGGTTGCATTCAAAGGGAAGTTAGAAGGGTTGTCACATTCACAAAGCATCAGTCTGTGTGCTCAGATACAGCCTGTTTTACAAAGTCATAAAATCAGTGTGTTTCTTTATAACGCAGGAAAACAGGCAGCTGTATCTGCTTTGTGAACTCATCTTATGGAGGGCCTACGGTGTTAATATCAATCAGCAAGGTGCAAAAACAGAACAGTCTGAGATGACTGTGTGTGCAGCTCACTCCGATGAAAGCAAATTAAGCCAAACGTGTAGAGGGGTAGGTGCATCACACAATAGAAATCATAAGAAAAGGTAAGCCTTGTCTAATGGAAAGTTTGCACTGCAATATGGGAGTTTACATCATTTGACAGAAAAAGTTGAAGGAAAAAAATGGACCTCTAGAAAGTGCCAGAAAGCATGTGGCTACTTCCCTTTAATTAATCCAGTTCATTTCTAACCTCCAACCCATAGGAACTCTGTCTACACCTTTCCAAACGCTGCCTACACCTTTACAAACACTGCCTACACCTTTACAAATGCACCTGTACAAATGCTGTCTACACCTTTCCAAACGCTGCCTACACCTTTCCAAACACTGCCTACACCTTTACAAATGCTGCCTACACCTTTACAAACGCTGCCTACACCTTTACAAACGCTGCCTACACCTTTACAAATGCACCTGTACAAATGCTGCCTACACCTTTACAAACACTGCCTACACCTTTACAAATGCTGCCTACACCTTTACAAATGCTGCCAACACCTTTAGAAAAGTTGCCTACACCTTAACAAACGCTGCCTACACCTTTACAAACGCTGCCTACACCTTTACAAACACTGCCTACACCTTTACAAACACTGCCTACACCTTTACAAACGCTGCCTACACCTTTACAAACGCTGCCTACACCTTTACAAACGCTGCCTACACCTTTACAAATGCTGTCTTCACCTTTACAAATGCTGCCTACACCTTAACAAACGCTGCCTAGACCTTTACAAACGCTGCCTACACCTTTACAAACGCTGCCTACACCTTTACAAACGCTGCCTACACCTTTACAAACGCTGCCTACACCTTTACAAATGCTGTCTTCACCTTTACAAATGCTGTCTTCACCTTTACAAATGCTGCCTACACCTTAACAAACGCTGCCTACACCTTTACAAACGCTGCCTACACCTTTACAAATGCTGCCTACACCTTTACAAACGCTGCCTACACCTTTACAAACGCTGCCTACACGCTTTACAAACGCTGCCTACACCTTTACAAACGCTGCCTACACCTTTACAAACGCTGCCTACACCTTTACAAATGCTGCCAACACCTTTAAAAATGCTGCCAACACCTTTAGAAAAGTTGCCTACACCTTAACAAACACTGCCTACACCTTTACAAACACTGCCTACACCTTTACAAACGCTGCCTACACCTTTACAAACACTGCCTACACCTTTACAAACACTGCCTACACCTTTACAAACACTGCCTACACCTTTACAAACACTGCCTACACCTTTACAAACGCTGCCTACACCTTTACAAACGCTGCCTACACCTTTACAAATGCTTCCTATACCTTTACAAATGCTGCCTACACCTTTAGAAAAGTTGCCTACACCTTAACAAACGCTGCCTACACCTTTACAAACACTGTCTACACCTTTAGAAATGCTGCCTACACCTTTACAAAACATGCCTACACCATTAGAAATGCTGCCTAGTGCCTACACCTTTACAAAACATGCCTACACCTTTAGAAATGCTGCCTACACCTTTACAAAACATGCCTACACCATTAGAAATGCTGCCTACAACTTTACAAACGCTGCCTACATCTTTACAAATGCTGCCTACACCTTTACAAATGCTGCCTACACCTTTACAATTGATGCATACACCTTTAGAAACACTGCCTACGCCTTTAGAAATGGTGCCTAAAACCTTTAGAAAGGCTGCCCACACCTTAAGCGTTGACTACATATTGAAATGCGCCACCCACCTCTTACAACTGATGTCTTCAACTTAAAAACACTGCCTACACCTTCAGAAATGCAGCCTACACTTTTACAAATGTTCTCTACAGCTTTAGAAACGTTGCCCACACCTTGAGACATGCTGCTAACAACCTTACAAATACTGCCCACACTTCTAGAAACGTTGACTACACCTTGAGACATGCCACCTTCACCCTTACAAATGCCATCTACACCTTTAAAACACTGTCTACACTTTGAGAAACATTGCTTTTAACTTTACAAATGCTGCCTGCAGTTTTAGAAAAAGCGCTCTAAACTTTAGAAATGTTAGAAACGTTGCCCACACCTTGAGACACGCCGCATACAACCTTACAAATACCGCCTACACCTTTACAAATACTGTCTATAGCTTTATAAAAGTTGCCTTCACCTTAGGATACACTACCTACAGCTTTACAAATGTCTACACATTATAGCTTTAAAATGTCTTCTTTAATTATCCAACTTATATTGTGCAACACGAAAGTAAACTATTTTCTGAGAATGCCCAAGACTTTTTCATTTGTCGCTATGGATAAATAACTTGAAGAATAACAAAGACCAGTACATGGTAAAATTATTTGTGCTAAAAACAGTGCGTTTACAATTACAAAAATAAGTTAATATTATATGGTAAGAAATACCACTTTGCAATATCAAGCAGCATAATCAGCTGTTTTGTACAGCTAAAAATAAAAAAGCAGAATCCAGAGACATTCAATATACAAATGGGCATGCCTGTTCTTACAAATAAAAATAAGGGACAGATGTGCTACAAATTTATAAATGCTGCACACACCTTTAGAAAACCTGCCTACACCTTTAAAAATGTTGCCTACACCATAAGATGTACTGATTAGATATCAAGAAGAACATTTAAATGTGGATTTAATGGACATTTGAATGTGCTTTTGGAGTTTTCTTGAACATTGAGGCATTTAAAGGTCAGCCTAATTACTACCTTTTGCCCAACTGAAAACATAAAAACTATAAATGGGCATAACAGCATAACACAATCATATATTTGCATATATGATTTTATTTTTTCAAATTAAGTGTTTTCCAATGGGGACACCAGATGGCCATTTCCATTTGGAGGGTTTAAAGGAATTGGAGGATGTAAAGAGCATGGGGTTTGATTTACAGTCAGAGTGGGGACGGCAGATTGACTGTCTCACCTACTCACCGCAGGTTTGTAAGCGTTCATTCAATTAATTCCTGTGTTTCAGAGAACTGCAAAGATGTCAGGCATGAATGAGACACAAAACAGACAGATTGAGACTTACAACATGTCAGTATTACAAGTTTTTGTGGACCCAAGACAACTAAAGGACAGAGAGTGAAAATATGGAGTGGAGGAAAAGACAGACCAGACAAACGTTTACTTTATGACCACCTTATGTTGTCAAAAATGGCAATTATAATCTTTTTTTTTTAAATTACAGATCTGTTTTGTCAAATGCAAAGTAGGACTGGCCAATTATTGCTTGCGTGAAATGATTAAAGCAGAAAATAGCCATCACTAATTTGAATTTACAGGGGCTCTAGTGAAAAGTCAAAACTCTAGTGCCAACCTTTATTTAGCATTTTACCTTTAAAACTGTGTCCCATGCACCACATCAGCTGTGACCTAAAACCATTTTCTGTGTAACTGCAACATCCTGACTTTTGAGGTCAGCTGTATAATTTTAATTGAATTGACTTCTTAGGATATTGAATAAGGTGGATGCAGACCTGAATCCACACATCACAAATATTAGATATATTTCTCGAAGCTGATGCATATGGCATTTGTATTCTCAATGATTATGTTTAGCACAGTCTCTGGACTACTTTCCAGGCTGATCGATGATGATACTCTGGTCTAACTAGGCCAATGCATATGTGACTGCAAACACACACAACTTTTCAAGAGTGTATTCATCTGCTTTTTTTAAATATAGAAGGATGTATTGAATATTTATGACGAATGTGAATGTCACAATTTGATTTGCCATCCCAGACAGCAATAAAGTGTTGGCCCAGATCGACTGGATCAATGGGAATCCACACGTACCAGATGTGGACCGGATCTGGGACGGCACGATGTTGCTGTCTGGGATTTAAGTTTCCTTAGATATGTCATTGCACTAGTTCCACAATCCCACCTTATAAAGCTGCTTTGATTATCTTGAGAGCCAAAGGCACTTGCGAACTAACATATATTTCTCCAATATAAAACTCTTTAAATGTTTCGGCCTATCCACACAAAGACACCTCACCTGAAGACTGGAGATTGCCGAGGGTGGGGTCATCAGATTTTGCTCCAATAGGGGGTTAAGAGGGGCGGTGCCTGGCAGATGAGTGGCACGCCAGTAAACCTCCAGATATTCAGCGAGGTGCTCACAGGCGTCCTCCAACTGGTTCTCGTCCAAAATGACATCAAACATCTCCTGATGGGGAGACAGGGTGGAGGAGAAGATGACATGCGGGGGATGAAATTAGAAGATATTATATAAAATATCTTATGATGGTGGACAGGTGATGGAAGATGACGTTGAGCGACAGGTAGGATAATGGCTCTATGGAACAACATGCAACATGACTTTTGTCAGAATGTGGTTTGGAAAAGCAAGCGTTTGCATCACTAGAACTGTAGCAAGGCCAGTCTAAACAAGAGCAGTCAATCAAGTGAGAATGAAGAACAAACATTTGAAATTAAACCAGTTCACTAACAATGTGAGACACAAAATTACCTTCATTTCTAATTAATACAATGTTTAGTCAGACAGATGTGCCCTAAATGAAATGCTCTGAAAACCTGCAGTTCTCATCCTTGCAATCCTAAATCAGCCATTGACAGTTTTAGTAAAAACAAATCTAATTTGATCAAATCTAATATATACAGTATATTCCAACCTGTATTACTTAGTTTGTTATATAAGTGATTTACACTCAAAAATAATGCAAAGTGCATGCAAATATTATCTGATTACATAAATAGCCTTATGCATTTGTAATTTTGAATCGTTAGTTACAAAAATAATAATTTGATCATTATTTATATACCCACCCTTGTTTTTTCCCAAAAACTACTAGTTTTTCTTTTCAATGCAACTGCAATAAATGGGTACTTTCAAGCTTTCAAAAAGCAAAAGCACCATACAAGTCCTGCTATACTTCACAGTGATGCGCGGGTCAATGTATAAACAACCCGCAACCGACCGACGTTTTCAACTACCCGCCCGCAACTCGGACCGCAAAAAAAGTAAAAAAATATTGTACCCGACCCTCTTCCTGACCGCATTTTTTAAAAGTAGTAAATGCTCATCGGAGCGTTATTGGGCCATAGACGTGTAACAACAGCATCGCAAGAAGACGCAGGCCTAACAAAGGCAAAGCCAGCACTTTGGTCATCATCTTTCATTATTTCAGCAAATGTCTCCCACACTTTTACTCTTTCTATTTGTGTATTTGCGGAGCTTCCACTCCCCAGTCTTCACCTTTTCTCTTGCCGCCTCCATCTCTCTGCAGACTGTAGTGATCATAGACATGGCCGGTTCGTGAACGAATCGTTCTTTTGAACCGGCTCTTTTTAGTGAACCGGTCGAACCAGTACACTAACCGAACTGAATCGTTCGAAACAGTTCGCGTCTTGTGTCAGTGCTGATCCACAAGTTACTAAAGTTACTCACTTGCCTGACAGTCCCTCCGAATCGAAGTAAATCAATATCCTGAATTATATTTTACTCCAGTAACTCCAACAGTTCACTGAACCGAGACATGTTGTTGCCACTGTTGAGAGAGGTGATGAGATGAGCACGAGCAGCTGATACTGCGCATACCGAACGCACAGAGACAGTTCTCGAATCACCAGTATAGAACCGACTCCGCGAACTGTTTAGACTGAGCTTGTGTGCTATCTTCGTGCCAGTTATTCAGCCAATAATGTGTAAGGCTGTATATTTCATCAAAAATTGTGTCTAGTACTATATTAATACAAATGTTTAATTGGCATCTTTTTTCAAACGACCCGACCGACCGCGACCCGAATATCATTAAAAACATTTTTGGATGACCCGTAACCCGTAACCCGTGACCGCAGGCACCCGCTCATTTCGGATCAACCCGCGCATCACTGATACTTCAAGTTTTCTGAAACCAAACGATAGCTTTGGGTGAGAAACCTACAGAAAATGTTATCCACTGAAAATGTGTTTTGTGAACCAGATCAACCAAATCATGACAAAGATCATTGTAAAAAGATTTGTGAATAATACTTGTACAGCTCCTTAAAGCTGCAGTCCCAATTCATTGCAATTGCACAGAAGGGAGCAACCAGTACAGTTTCTCAAAATATCTTCCACACAAGAAAGAAAGTAATATGTATTAGGAACAAAATGAGGGAGAGTAAATAACAATAATTTTCAAAAAAATGTTCTACACCCTTTATGGATTTAAATTCTACACAAGTGTATTGCTGTCCATCAGGGGTGTTCAATCCTGTTCCTGCTGAGTTTACCTCCATCAAACCTGCCAGGGAGTTTCAAGTGATCTTGAAGACCTTGATAAGCTGGTTCAACAGTGTTTAATTAGGACTAGAGCGGAAAGTGGTCCTCAAGGAGCACAAGATTGGACACCCCTGCTGTACATGCATTACATGAGTTTACATCAAGCACTAGGGCACATCCCAAGTAATATGGCAGTCAAGCTCTTTAAAGGAGTAGTTCACTTTTAAAAAAACTTTTGCTGATAATTTACTCACCCCCATGTCATCCAAGATGTCCATGTCTTTCTTTCTTCAGTCGAAAAGTTTTTTGGTGAAAGCATTCCAGGATTTTCTCCATATAATGGACTTCAGTGGGAACCAAAAGGTTCAAGGTCCAAATGAGAGTTTCAGTGCAGCTTCAAAGGGCTTTAAACTACACCAGACGATGAATAAGGGTCTTATCTAGCGAAACGAGCGATCATTTCAAAAATAAATAAAAAAGTTTACGTTTTATAAGCACAAATGCTCGCCTTGATCTGTTCTGTGATGCGCGTTCGTGACTCTCCTGTTTGAACTCGTTCATCAAAATGAACAAATCTTTTTTCGAGTCATGACTCGAAGGGTCCTACATATGACCCTTATTCATCGTCTGGTGTCGTTTAAAGCCCTTTGAAGCTGCACTGAAACTCTCATTTGGACCTTGAACGTTTTGGTTCCCACTGAAGTCTATTATATGGAAAAAATCCTGGAATGTTTTCATCAAAAACCTTAATTTCTTTTCAACTGAAGAAAGAAAGACGTGGACATCTTGGATGACATGGGGGTGAGTAAATTATAAGCAAAAGTTTTTTTAAAAGTGAACTACTCCTTTAAGTACTCCTTTTTTTAAGGAAGTATTGTAAAAAGACAAAACTATCCAATTATATTTGTTTAGTGGATCTTGACAACACTAATGTTGAATCTACAGTATTCTGAACAGCTCTATAAACGTTTATGGGTACGTGTGTGTGTTTAAACTTCAAGAACTTACAGGGGGACACTGAACCAGTTTATCTGCAGCCATCATCTGAACATTGAGGTGTTTGCTCTGTGATTTACCCCTCGACTTTATCAACCGCTGTAGGACCTGCCAAAAGAGAAAAAAATTATCTATTTTTCTATTAAAGGATTAGTTCACTTTAAAAAAAAAACTTTTGCTGATAATTTACTCACCCCCATGTCATCCAAGATGTCCATGTCTTTCTTTCTTCAGTCGAAAATGAAGATTTTTGATGAAAACATTCTAGGATTTTTCTCCATATAATGGACTTCAGTGGGAACCAAACGGTTCAAGGTCCAAAAGACAGTTTCAGTGCAAACTGCAAACTGTTCAAAGGGCTTTAAACGACATCAGACGATAAATAAGGGTCTTATCAAGAGAAACGATCGATTATTTAAAAATAAAAATAAAAAGTTTAAGTTTTATAATCTCAAATGGTCGCCTTGCTCTCCTATTCGAACATCAAAATGAACAAATCTTTTCCAGAGTCAACTCGTTCGTTGAGTGTACCAAATGACGCGAAAAAAGATTTGTTCATTTTGATGAACGAGTTTGAACAGGAGAGTCACGAACGCGCATCACAGAACAGAGCAAGGTGACCATTTGTGCTTATAAAACTTACACTTTGTTATTTTTTTTAATGAGCGATCGTTTCGCTTGTTCAGACCCTTATTCATCGTCTGGAATTGTTTAAAGCCCTTTGAACAGTTGCAATTTGCACTGAAACTGTCTTTTGTACCTTGAACCGTTTGGTTCCCATTGAAGTCCATTATATGGAGAAAATCCTGGAACGTTTTCATCAAAAACCTTCATTTCTTTTCAACTGAAGTAAGAAAGACATGAACATCTTGGATGACATGGGGGTAAGTAAATTATCAGCAAAAGTTTTTTTTTTTTTAAAGTGAACTATTCCTTTAATAGAGCAGAAGATATTTTTGAGAATATTTTCATTAATCGTTTGAAATAGTGCACCCGTGATCATGAGACTTACTTTCGGAGATGTGACCTTGACATAGACTATAATGGGAGCTAGCGAGGTTTTAGCTAGCTGTGTTGGATGGTTAATGGTGTCCGCATCCAGAATCACCAGTTGAAGGGTTTTGGCCAACTCAAATATTCTTTCGATCTCACTCTGTACCTCTGCTGGGTGCACAAACAGACAAACAGCACCCACAAAACATGAACCCCAGGAAAACAGAACGACAAAATGCTCAAAAAGTTCAACAATATACATCTTGTCTGCTGGTTAAACATTTTTAATACCTATTCTCACAATTTTGACAAGACGTTGTTAACCAGCTAGATACTGTAAACTAAAAAAGCAACTGTGGTCAAAAATAGGCAACTGATGTTATCTTATTGTTGAGTTCTGCTGGTTGCACAGCGAGTTGATGTTCTCACCCAAACTGGTCCGTGTGTTAGGTCTCTTGTTGAAAACCGGTCTCTTGGCTAAAGAAAGGTCAGCGGTTACCCGGGTAATAGAAATCCTGTCAGCATAACAATCAATTAGTGACTTAATAATGCGAAAGAAAGATTGCAGGTCACTGAAAATCATAGTAATTGAGGATGATGTGCCAGTTCTATTTTATATGACTTAAATTTGGGTTTGTTCCTCGTACAAAGCTTATGGCTTTAGAAGACATGAAATATAATCGCATGAGTTGTATGGACTACTTTTATGAATGTTTTTTGGCCTTTTTGGAGCCAGACATAAGTGTGAGTAAACGACGATTATGCATACACATACACTGAATTAAGATTTTGTTAATGTTTATGAAAGAAGTGTCTTATGCTCATCAAACTTACATTTATTTGATCAGTAAAAACAGTAATATTGTTAAATATTCCTTATTATTATTAACATTAAAAACACTGTGACACACTACCATTCAAAAGTCTCTAACATAATATTTAGCATGGACTGTCAAAAGACATTTATGTTACAAAACATTTATATTTTAAATAAATGCTGTTGTTTTGAACTTTCTATTTATTGAAGAATCCTGAATGAAAATATTCCACAAAAATATTACAGTTTTCCACATTTATAATTAATAATAAGAACCATTATCAATAACTGAGTACCCATAATAATTGATAAAAATTAGGGCTGTCAAACGATTAATCACGATTAATCGCATCCAAAATAAAAGTTTGTGTTTACATAATATATGTGGGTGCACTGTGTATATATATATATATATATATATATATATATATATATAAAAATACACACACATGCTTGTATATATTTAAGAAAAAACACAATTTTTTATTTTGGATGCGAATAATCGCAATTTATCGTTTGACGACCCTAATAAAAATGTATCAAATCATCATATTAGAATGATTTCTGAAGGATCATGTGACACTGAAGACTGGAGTAATGATGCTGAAAATTCATCACAGGAATAAATGACATTTTTAAAACATATTCAATTAAAAATAAAATTATTTAAATTCGTAATAGTATTTCACTGTTACTGTTTTTACTGTATTTTTGATCGAATAAATGCAGCCTTGGTGAGCAGAAGAGTCTTCTTTAAAAGAAACATAAAACATTTAAAATCATAATTATTCCAAAGTTTTTACCGGTAGTGTATATCTAATACATATACAATCGAGAAATGTGCCAGCTCACCGTCCATCAAAGCGATGTTTGAGAAAGTCAAACAGAGCTTTCTGCATCATATCTGTCACCTGTCGACAGACACGACACATGAGACAACACATTTCAAAACAAATTCAGAGGGTTGTGTGAAGTCCAGCGCTCACCTCATAGCCCTTCAGTGAAGGCCCAACCAGAACCACAGGCCTCATGGACGGCACCACATCGTACGGAGGAATGACTTCAGTCTAATTGAGAAAGACAAGAACGGCACCGTCACACAGAACCATAGCATCGACTACAACCAGGACAAACCGGATTTAAAGCAGCATCCTTAATGTCAGCACAGACTGGTAACAATCTTGGTACATACAAACATATACATTTTCTGAGATTCATGAAACGTTGTCAAGATACTTTTCCTACAGTTTACAATCTAGTACTGTCATAGAAATAATTCTGTGCTACAATGTAATTACACATGTACTTACTATAGGGTTAGGATTGGGGTTTGGTTTAGGGTTATTACTACAATAACTACACAAGGACACTGTAAAATAAAGTGAAAAGTTCATTTACTAAATTCGGCAGACAATACCATTCAAAATTTTGGGGTCAGTATAAGATTATTTTTTAAAAGACATTAATATTTTTATTCAGCAAGGATACACTAAATTGATTCATTCTTTTTGATTCATTTTTTTTTACATTGATAACAATACAATCAGACATGTTTCGTCATGTGACAGCTTTGGTGAGCATAAAACAGAACATTCCAAAATTTTGAAGAGTAGTGTAGTGTATATTTGGCCATTTTGTGTGTTTTTGGCAGCAATATAAGGGGCTTTCTATAAGTATCTCATTAAAGGGATAGTTCACTTTGAAATTAATTTTTGATAACTTTTAGTTTACCTCAAGGGCATGCAAGATCTAGGTGTCTTTATTTCCACAGTATTTTCAATTTGGATATTTTTAGGTCAAACCGTTCTAGTCTGTCGGTCATATAATGGAGGTCAATGGTCACCACCTCAAAGAGCATGCACAGAGAAGTTCAAATTAAACATGATTTAATGACTCGTAAATGTAAGTACACATTGATGGCCTAAGACACGAAACAAGAGGTTTGTGTGAGAAAACGAACAGTATTTATATCGTTTTTACCTCTTGTAACCACAGCCACGTCCAAGTACTCTGAGGGTGCATATATGTCACTCATTGTTTAAACAGAGATTTCAGAAGTGTTATCCTTCACTGTGAAGATCTAAACATATTTAGATATACAGGAAATTGCAATGGAAGACGATTTCGATATATCAACAGACAACGTTGAATTTTTTTCCTGCAACCGCGCAAGAGATGACTTCCGGCGCTTGCGCAGAACGAACCACCCGTGCCTTCAGATCAATTGGATGTGGCTGTGGTTACAAGAGGTAAAAACGTCTTATATATAAATACTGTTCGTTTTCTCACACAAACCTATCGCTTCGTGTCTCAGGCCATCAATGTGTACTTACATTTACGAGTCATTAAATCATGTTTAATTTGGACTTCTCTGTGCATGCTCTTTGAGGTGGTGACCATAGACCTCCATTATATGACTGATAAACACAAACGGTTTGACCTAAAAAATATCAAAATTGAAAATACTGTGGAAACAAAGATGCCCTTGATACATCTTGGATGCCCTTGAGGTAAGCTAAAACATATCAAATATTAATTTCAAAATGAACTATCCCTTTAAATGATTTGCTCAAATACGTTACAACCTGTCTGACCAACAAGGAGAGAATATCATAAGATATCTAACACATAGTCATATCAACACACCTACCTGCTTTAACTTCTGTTTGGCTTTTGGAAATGAGAAAACACATCAGAATCAGCATTCAGAAGATTGTAGAATAAGAATGACCTTTTTTTTTATATATATTACCATACTCTGAACTTTTACAGGTGTTATCCTACTGTATTTGACAGTAGAGGCTTAACCTGTGACAGAATGTGTCATGTGTTAAGAAGAGGAGGAAATAATAAGAATAAAAGCAAGGAAAGATAAATACACTCACTGATCTTCAGCCCTACTGATATTTCGCTCATTTGGGGCAGCATTCCCAGTCACAAACATCCCCTGCAAAGCAGCATGGCGCCCAGGCCCTGTCATACTCACTCTCACCTGCAGATGGCGGCGTGGATCTCCAACCTCCTGATACCATGTCGCCTAGGCTTGAGGAGGAGTTACCACTTTTCCTGTGGAGAAAAAAACAAAACAAAAACATCAGCCTATGATCATACCACATGCCTTCACAGAGCTGGTAAACTATCTGGACAATCCCAGTATTGTCAGCTTCATTGCTTCCTCTCCTCGGGTCATTTTGACCCGACATTCAGTTTCTTTTAATTTCGAAAAATTTTGTGTTCATCGGAGTTGTCCAAGACCTTGGGAGATTTGTCACACTTGAACTTCGATTATAGGATTTTTATGTGGTTGTAATAAAAATAGTAACAAATTCCAACAGTCCACATCACTGCTGTCTAATTACCTTACTAACTTGAATTATTATAAAATCTGACACTTTAGTATATATACAAATCTAAAAATACTCAAAATGGTAAAACATTAACAAAAAATCATTTTATAATGTCTAAATACATACCTGACGGCATACTGAAGAAAAAAAAACGGAATATATATATATATATATATATATATATATATATATATTTTTTTTTCATTTTATATATAATTTTCAAGAGGTCAAGAGACACACAATGTGAGACTTTCTGAGCTGTTTAAACAAGTTTTTGCATGTATTGGATTGGATGTATTATTTATGAATTTATATAAAAAATTATTTCAGTGAAAGGATGTGAAGAATGTGTTTTTTAATCCAATATAAATATTACAATTATTTAAAAAATTGAGTTATTTAAAGATAAAAAAAAAAACTAAATAAAATTCAATTAAAAAATTGAAAATAATTCTAAGAATGAAATGAAATAAGCTTTCTGGACAATATTAATTATAAGTGATTTTAGGGCTTCGGGTCATTCTGAGATGTGAGGGAAGGATTCGTTTACAGGTACAGGAGGAGAGGATAAGGGTTCAGACTAAATTCAGTATTATTGTCATAGTCATACTTTTGGCGTCTGTAATCTCAGTTTGCATTTAAAACAACAATACAGTAAGGGAACGTTTTTGTTGAGTATTATAGAGTATTTAACAGGAGAATATGGAGCTCATTCTCAAGAAGAAGAAAACACAGTGACTGAATTATGATAATGCAAATCAATCAATATGTATAACAGTATAGCAGATAACCAAACAGCCGTGGGGCCACATTGGGCCCGTCAACTCTCTGCTTCCCAACATTCTTCACAATATCTTCTTAACATAACAAAGAAACTTATACAAGTTTGGAACAACTTGAGTAAATGACTAAATGATTTTGGGTGAACTATCCCTTTAACTCATGGGTCCTTATTGAAAAGTGTTACCTATATTTAAAACGCATTGTGTTTCTATGCATCTAAATGTATTCCAACGTCTGAATGAAATATACATAGACCACAGAAAGAGACCTCTGTTGTTTTTGCTCCTGTTTGAGTCTCATGGCCTCCAGTCGGAGGGGGCTGGGTATGAAGCTGATGTCGGCCCCCTCTTTCACCAGCCTTCCGATCCACCAGTCATTATTGTACTTCTGCAACACAAGGAAAACACACACTCAGCACTATTACGAGGACCTTATGGGCATTGTTAGCCAATCGCCTGATCTTTCCATGTATTGTACGGTGCATCTCACCTCTTTAATGTGCAGAAAGTCTTTGGCTTCAAAGTTTATGGCAGCACCCTGAACAGGACAGTCCTCATCTAGAGCCCCGCAATAATTCACATTCGTCTTCACTGCGAACGCTACAGGTTTGGACTGCCAGAGAAAGCAATGTTAATAATGTTCATAAAAAGCTAGATTATCTCAATAACTGCATAGTAAATAATTATCTAATATAAATAATGCAAAATAATTAGGGCTGTCAAATGATTAATCGCATCCAAAATAAAAGTTTGTTTACATAATATACTGTATGTGGGTGCACTGTGTATAATTATTTTATATATATATATAAATACACAGACATTCTTGTATATATTTAAGAAATATTTTGATGTATACACTGTGTATAGATTTATATATAATTTATATTATTTTATAGATAAATAATATTTTTTTCTTAAATATACATGCACGTGTGTGTATTTATATATATATATATACAAAACATATACACAAAATAATTATACACAGTGCACCCACATATATTATGTTAACACAAACTTTTATTTTGAATGCGATTAATCACGATTAATCGTTTGAAAGCCCTAAAAATAATTAAAATAGTAAGTGACATTACATTGTATAATGCTTAGCAGTGATTAGTGTACATTCAAATACACAGTAATTGAATAGAACGGTGAAGCATTTGATTGAATTTATAGAAAATTTACATGCAAGTGAACCATTAGTAGTATTTTTTTTGTACAATTTGGGACACAATGTTGTAAGATAAAGTAAAAGGTCCCGTTTGCATACACATTTGCATTTTATTTAAGGTCAGCAGACACATTGTCTGCAGCAATAAGAACTTCAACATAAGCGAATATCAAGAAATAATGAATTTAAAGTGTACAATATTGATCTAAATGCTAAGAAAATGTTGTTTCTTGATGATGATGCCCTGTCCCAACACATTCATGTCACTAAGCTACGTGTAGATGGACACTTTGTCGCTAATATTGTGCAAACGAAATAGTAAAAGCGCAGAACCTTGGCTCTCTCGAGCTGCAGCTGGGCCTGGCGTTCGGCTTCACGCCGATACGCCTCGCGGTCCTCCTCCGCTGACAGGTCGGAATCCGAAGGTCTGCTCGTGTACGAATCGGCTGAACCCTGCAGGACGGGGAATAAGGGGAAACCAAGAATGTTGTTTGGCGTAATAGAATATTCAAAAAGTACAATAACTGTAGTGTAAACATAGCTTAGCTAGTCAAAACACTCTCATTGATCACCACAACACATGCAGCTATACAGTAAGGCAGATAGCTAGAGGTTTACGAAGAAGTGACGCATGAAATAGACTTTATAATAGGTCTTCAAACAGTTAACAATAGGCCTTTATATTGAAAGTTAAACAGTATATATGACATGCACAGTATGTGTTTTACTTTATATGTGTGATGCATATATTTGCCTAAAGTGCTCTTATTTATGTTGTACTTCAAAAACAAAAATTATAGGAATTTATATGTGCACAATAACAATTTTTTTAATTACAATCTTTATTGTAGTGTGTGATTTACACCAAATTCTAACAATCTTACAATTTGGCTATATAGTGTGCATTTATATAGTGTGCATGAGGGGAAGAATCCAATCAAATCCCTGAGGACAAAGAGTCCCATCCTACATTTTGTCTTGTTCAAGAACCTCTTTCACTTGGATACATGTCACAGTCGGGAAGAAAAGACTATTGCAACTTCTGTTTAATGCTGACTTTAACAACTATGACTCACTAATAGAGATACGGTAAAATATTTTTAACAATTGACAAGACATTACACAATTATTTCAGCACAATGGTAAACACAAAAAACTATAACATAAAAACTCTGTTAAATGTTATACTCTAACAGGTCTTTCCATTTACTTAATTTAACTACTTAATTTCAACATTTACTGTCCTGATCCAGCCCTATGCAAAGCATGCTGGGAACTAAATATGTTCCGCATAGTTCTAGTTAATGCTACAAAAGAAAAAAAAAAGAATCAGAAGAAGGGCTCAACGCTAAGGATTTTTTAATATAATTTTTATTTGCCCAGCTAAAGTTTTCAAACAGTGCTTTTCAAGTTTTTCAGGTTGGTCTAACAGTAATTTTCAATTAAAGAATTTCAATAAAGTAATCCAATGTAATCTCCGGCCAGTTGATAATACCTACAATATCAAAATCGACTGCTGGTGGTAGATCCTTTTCCTATTTTTACCACCAAAACTCTGGAAAAATCTTCCTAACATTGTCCGGGAAGCAGACACAATCTGTCAGTTCAAATCTAGACTAAAAACACATCTCTTTGGCCTAGCATACACATAACACACTATAGACTTCCTAAATTCAAAATTAGGCTGCATAGTTTAGATCAGCCGGAACCGGGAACACGTCCCGTAAATCCTGATGTACTTGGTACATCAAAAGAAGGATGGCGTCTACGCTAATATTAGTTTCTCTGTTTATCCTGAGGGAGGGACCCTCTATGGTGGACCTACGCCTGGACCCATCCCAACTCAGATCATTTGTTTCATACTAAAAAATGTATTTTTCATCCATTTTGTGCGGTTAGCGCTGCTGGTTGATGTCGTTGTACAGAAAGAATGTTGTGACAGTTGGTCAGTGTGGTTTAGTCCCGCCCCTCCTCCACTGTGATTGGGCGGCTGGCTAAAAAGTGACAGTGATGAGCGCTGCGTTTAATCCAAAGTTGAACATTTTTTAACTTTCGGCGAGAAGTAAAAAAACGGCGAAGCTTGAGCATGAAAAAAACGTTCAGCGTCTCGTTACGTTTAAAAAACGTGGCGCTCCCATTGAAAACAATTGAAAAAGTACACCAGGCGCGTGGTGGACACACGGCCTTAGTGAAATAAATGAACTTTTGCACAATACTCAAATTTTTTCGAGTTTCACCTGTAATTTAACAATTGTCAAAAATCAACATTTACAGTGTACAATGAACCACCGGTGCAACACCAGAGCTGAAATGCTTATGGTCAGTGAGTCATCAAATACTGCTCTAATGGTCTAGTCCTAATGGAGACATCCAGCTTTAAACCGTCCAAAAAAAAAAAACACACGTCTAACAGATTCCACAGGGGTAAAACTGGAGCCTGTACACCACAAATGTTGGAAATTCAATCTGATTACATTAAATACACCTGTGATCTGTGGCAGAGTGATCCTTTCAGGTTTCATCTGTATGGCCTCTAAGGTGACAGATTGCTACAGCACTACAGCAGGGAACAGAGGCAGTCGTAATGATTCGACTGTAATAAAACAGAAATCCCCTAAATATGCCAAAAACAGTGGAATTTGCATTTCAAAGCGATAATATTCCATAACCATGACAATAATGAACTGAAAGGCAATGCTGAAATATGTGCATCCAGACCAACAATAATATACAAAACTTAACCTTAATCTTAAAAATCACCTCTCTCATGATCCTAATCCTAAAAAAACTAATCAGGTAAATTCCACTTACCTTCTTCAAGACAATGGTTTGAGGCGTTTTTAATGCTATCTCATTCTCTATGAGCTCAAGAGAGCCTCCAGGACTCTCTAAGTCTTGTGGTTGGTGGCCCTTCCTGGTCCACTCTGAAGAGCAATAACGCTCAACGCCAGTCAAAAACAACACCGAGATGCAGAGCCCAAAACAGAGCAGTCATGACTGCCCTCAGAACCTCACAGCAGGGATGGAGGAAGGCGAAAGACAGAAAGAGAGCAAGAGAGAGAGAGAGAGTGTGTGTGTGTGTGTGTGTGTGTGGAAAAGGGGACAAATGAAATGCAAGCGGGCGGTACAAGCTGTTAGATGAAGAAAAAATGGAGGGAGGGTTGAAATTGAGCACCTCAGGACTGGCCGAGCTGCAGTGAGCAGAACGCTTCGGGGGGGAATGACTGAAAGCTTAACAAACACTCTATCAGCATCATCATCATTCACCACCAACAACTGAAGACTCGCATCAGCATTTCTGAGTTCCACCAGATTCCATAATCTTTAGAAAGAAAAAACATCTTTGTGTTCACACACACACACATTATGCATTTATTGTAGTGTTTGGATAACTATTGATAACTACTGTGATTCAAAATGTAATTT